AAAAAATGTTGCCGCGCCGCGATGGCTTATAAAAAAAACGTTGCCGCGATGAATTATAAAATAAACGTGCCGCTGCCGCGGCGGTTTACAAAAAAGTGTTTCTAATTTCACTGCTGCGACTATATTTGGCCAGAGATATTGGTACTAGTCCATCAGATTCATTCAGTCTCGGGGTGTTTCATTTGTAAACCCTGAAATTCTATTAAATTCATGCAGTTTTTCAATGTTCCCCAAAAAAATCCTGCCGCTGCCGCGATGATTTTTAAAAAACCTGCCGCTACCGCGCCGCTGCCGCGGTGGCCTTTTAAAAAACCTGCCGCTGCCGCTGCCGCCACAGGCCATCGCGGCAGCGCCGCGATGGACATCTCTGGGGCAACCCTGATGATTTCAAAAATATCTATGGGCAATTGCCCTACCCCGGGCTACGTCACTGATTCACACATACTAATTTAAACCTTATATGTAAATTTCTTGTTGTTTTTGAATTTCATTTATACGAATTTAATTCTAATTGAAATAATTTTTTTTGTTTTTGTTTAGTCAATACTCCAAGTATGTCATATCAAAGTATGATTTTTCTTTAATATATATTTATTAGAAAAAAGTTTTCTTTATAGATTTTATTGTAACATGTTGTAATGATCGATCAGTTAATGCAATGGTACAATCATATAATGTTTATCCACCAAATTTTGCTGTTTATTTAATTGGTCGTTCATTACTTTCACAAGGTCAAACAATCAATACAATGTATAATTCTGCAACAAAATCTATTTCTTCTTATTTCATTTTCTTTATTATTATTATAATTTTTAAACAAACACATCAATTTTAATTCATTTTGTGTATACAAACAAAAAAAACAAAAATCTGTGTTGTAATTTTTTTTTTTTTCATTTCATGCATTTTCTTTTTTTTTTCACATACAAAAAAATAATAATAACTACGGCATATACACAAATATTATCTTATTAAACAAAAAACAAATTATCTTTTTTTTTTTTCTAATTATTATATTAATTTGTAATAGATAAATTTGAATGACTTGTATATGAATATGATAATGTTGAAATATCACGTTGATCAATAAATGGATGTTCTTGTATAAATAAATCATCACGTTTTGAATTATTTTTCATATATAATTTATTTTCATTACAATTAATTAACATACAATAAAATGCTGATGCTAAATCTGTTTGTAATGATAAATAACCATGATCAACTAAATTTTCACATAGAATTGAAAATTCAACAATTGGTTGTTGTTGTTGGGTTTGAGATGATGATATTGATGATTGTTGACTTGATGTACTTATATCAAGTGATAATGTACGTTGTTGTTCAATTTTTTGACGTGTAAATTCTTCAATCATTTGACGTTTAAGAATTTTAGCATTAACTGATGATGAACCTTTAGCAAATTCAATTTTTTCATAATGAATTGGACGAATAAAATCATAATTAATTTCGGATAATGGACCGTCTACAAACAAAAAAAATACATGACATAAATATTTAAGATAAAATCATATATTAAAAACAAATCAATTTAATTAAAATGATTACAGAAACTGTTAGTCTTTAGAATAATTTATAATCCGTCATAAAAATTAAATGAATTAAAGAATAAACTAATATATTGCTTATATTTTTCATATGATAAATATCTTACTTTCATCATCAATATGATGATTATCATCATGATCATAATCATCTTGATCATAATAATGTTGTTTTTGTTGTTGTTGTAATACTTTTCGTTGATTAATTAAATTTAAATATTCAATATTTAAATTAGGAAAATTATAAAAATTAATTAAATCATTTAATGGACGTATTTTTCGAGCTAATTGCATTTGATTTAAACTTTTTTCACGTATACGTAATAATAGTGAACTTTGACTTGTACTAATAGATTTTTTATCTCGACCATTATTATTATAATTTAACATAATTTGTTCAATAGATATTTGATTAAATATATCAATACGAATATTTCGTTTTGGACCTTCTCTTATTATACCAGTAATTTTATGTGGTGTTACTGGTGCTTGTTGATGTTGAACAATTGATATATTTGTTATTGGTTGAGTTATATTAAGTAAATTAGTAAATTTCCATATATTAGGTCCAGCAAATAATTTAAGTTTAGTTGCATCAAAATATGAATATTCAGATTGACCATCTTTTGAATTTAATAAATTTGGCATTTGATCAACAAATGACATTGTACTCATAAATGATGATGATAATGGAAGATTTGACTATATTAAATAGATATATCAAAAAAATTCAATAATTCGATCAAATTTTTATTATAACACTATGTAATATTCACAGGCACAAAAATTATTGAAATTAGAAAAATTCTTTTATTCATAATATAATAGTAAATAGGATTCCGTTTGTCATGTAAATCCTAATGATCTATGAATATGTTGAAAAGTTTTCAGATCCTTCGATATACTATATTTTTTGATAGAAGGGTGAGTAGAGATCTACCAGTCCCAGTTCTGACTGGTGAGCTGGGTACTGAGTCCTTTGATCTATAGTCCATTAGTACTTTCTTTTCTAGTATATATTTCAGAGATGCGGAATCTTCCAAAAAATCAAAAATTTCCCTCCCCGCGGAAATTTTCTCCAAAAAATTTCCCCAGAGCTGTTTTTTCTTTGCCACTCACAGGCCAACTTTATTTGGCACAAAATATAAGTAACAAGAAAACATGGCAACATTTTGTTCTGTTTGTTGCTGTTCGTACAACATAGGAATTCTTTCAACTTGTTCTTTTCTCAAGCGGTTCAAAACAACTGAACCAGGTGGAACTAATTTGAAAAGACGATGTTGTCCTGTTTTATTTGAAGAAAATCCAGTGTTTATCCTTCAATTGAAAGAAGTAGTTGCTGGAACAGGACTTGATGAATGGATCTTCTAGATGAAGCAGTTGTGCGTTCCAATGCAACATCACTTCTTTGCCTAAGAGTTCATGATTCACACCTCAATTGTCACCAATGTGTTGCTCCAGGATTGAGGCAGCACTCTCGCAGACAAGTTCGCTTCTGATTTTGACACAGACTAGGAATTTTATAAAATTGTCAGATTAAAGAAATTTTGAAAAATTTTCAGACTGGGGAAATTTTAAAAAATTGTCACTGATAATTTTCCAAAATTTCCCCAGTCTGACAATTTTCCAAAATTTCTTCAGTTCGACAATTTTCCAAAATTTCCCCGATTAATGCAATTTTTCAAAAAATTTCCCTCCCCGTGCGGGAGCGCATGAGGAAGATTCTGCACCTCTGATATATTTGTCATACAGTGATTTTTAGGTTGTGATATAAGTTATGATACTGAATCCATTGGCTAATCATATATTTCTATAGTTTTGTTAATACTTACATTTATTGATTGTTGTGATTGAAAATTACCTAAATTTGAATACATAGTTGATGGTTCTGGATTACTTAATTCATTTAATGCATTTTTAAAAACTTCATTTGCATGTGATGGATCATCATTAAGATCTTCAATAGCAGCATGAATTAATTCTTCATGATTATATCCATCATCATAATTATTATTATCAATATCATCATTAGTTATACAAGATTTATTAATACTTTCATCCATTTGTACAAGACAAGTTTCATGTATTGTATCAATAAATGAACTACTTGGAATTTCATTAAATACAAATTCACGTAATGTTGAATTTCCTACGAAGAAGAAGAAAACAATAAAATTAAATTTAAAAAAAAAATTTCTACCAAGAACATGATCATGTCCTTCATTTATTTTAATAACACTACGTAATAATATTAAATCAATCATATGATTTATTGTATTATCAAGAATATTATTAATTTTTGTTTCTTGTTCATCAATTTGAATATTTACATTCGTAAAACCATCAATAAGTGGATAATCACTTGATGAATACATTGTATTTGATACCATTTCAGCATATATAGAATCAGCACCAATACCTCCACGCCATTGACATATATGTGGTGATTGTAATGGACGAAATTGAAATTCATGTTCAAGTGTGATTTTTGATAAATCAGTTAAAATAAATGTTGTTGTTTTAGCTTTATTACGACGTATTGGTTTTTTTATTTCACCTTCTTCACAATGAATATTTTCACTATCAATATCAGTTCGACCTTCTTCTTTAATTGTTCCATTAGGTAATTCTTCTTCGTCAGTATTTAAAATATTACCACTTAATTTTTGAGTTTCTGTATGTAATGCATCAACACGAAAACCATAAATTTTAGCACTAAAGAAATGTAATTTTTTTTTTTGTAAATTCAATATTTGTTCAATTTTCAAAATTTGTATTTTACCTTGTATCAATAACTGAACCAGCTTTAACAAAATTTGGTCCTAAATTATGATTATCTTTATCATCAAGTGCAATAACATTTAAAATTTGTGGTAAACGTTCAACAAGTGGAATATTAAATGCATTTTTAATATTTATTTTTCCTTGTGTTGCTAATTCAAGTGTTTTTTGATATAAATCAACTAATTGTTTTGGTGTTTGAATTGGTTCATCAATACCATTCAATGAATTATTTAATATACGTGATCGTCGTCGTCCTGTAAGACTATCATTAAGAGAATTTTCTTTATCATCAATATCATCATCTAATTCCGAAAGTTTTCTTGTACATCGTCGTGCAGCTAATGAACTAAAATAAAAAACAACTTGTATTTTACATTTTAAGATTTATTTTTTTTTTTTTTGTTACCGTCGTGATGCTGGTGCAGGCATATTCGTTATTAATGACAAGAACAAACGAACAATTTTGTCTTTGTTTCGTTCGTTTCTCTTTCCGCCTTGTCATTTAAAAATAACCAATTCAAATTCATAGCGCCACCTTCTAATAACAAAAAATTTAATATTGTTTTTTTGTAGTTGTTCGTGGAAACGATTTGATAATGGAGTAATAAGATTCATTTAGTTAAATTAAAAAAAAAAAAAGGAACTCAACGTATGGCTGACGAGTCAAAAGAAGATCTTGATAAATTTCTATCAAAAATTGATGATATACGTAAGAAAATTATAAAAATTAAATTATTTTAAAATGATTTAATATTTATAGATCGTATTGTTCAAAATTTATCTTCAAATGATACAAATGAAGTATCAAAAGCTATGGAACAATCTGATGTATTACTTAAAGAGATATCAAAAACAGGTTTTGATCGTACTATAATAAATAAATCATCTTCCGAATCAACACAACAACAACAACAAATGTCACCAAGTAAATCAAAAAAAAAAATTTTTTTTAAATGATTTTTATTTTTCACATTTTAGATGCATTTATGAGTGCATTAGAAAAAGATGCTCAAGAACGTAGTGAAAATCGTCGTAAAAATAAAATTTTAGCTGATGAATTAAAAACAAAAGGAAATAATGCATTTCATCAACAATTATATAATCAAGCTATTGATTATTATACAGAAGTAAATTATTAAATTTAAATACAGAATTTTTCTTTTTCCTATTTTAAATTTTTATAGGGTTTAAAATTAAAAAAAGATTATGATATATTATATACAAATAGAGCACAAGTATATGTTAAACAAGAAAGATATAAAGATGCAATTGATGATTGTAATTGGGCTTTAAAAGTAAAAATTCATATATATGAAATTTAAAATTATTTATATTTTTTTACTATTTAGATAACACCAACATTTATAAAAGCATATATAATTAAAGGCAAATGTTTAATGAATTTAAATGAATATGATTGTGCTAAAGAACAATTTATTCAAGCTGAAGAAATAGCAATAAAAAATTTTGAATCTATAAATATACGTCGTATGATAGAAGGCTCGTGAGTAAATAGAAATATTTGAATAGATGTTCGTTTGTTTGTTTTTTTTTAAGAATGTATTCAAGAAGTTCAACGACAACATGAAAAATATCAACGAGAAGAATCAGCACGAATATTTTTATTAAATGAAGATTTATCAATACCAATGAATTTAACTAATACATTGAAAAAATTATATATAGATAAACAACCAATTATTTATTATATTGGTGGAATTGATCTTCTATGTCAATTAATAAAAGATGGTTTAATTTAAATGAAAATCATTATTTTTCTTTAATTTTTATTATTATTTTAGAAACAACTCGAACAGCATTTCGTATTAATAATGGTTTTAATTTATTTAATTCTCATTCAATTATAATAGAAAATGATAATGAAAATTTATCAGAATCAATTTTTAATCTAATGATAATTCTTTGTCAAGATGATGGTATGAAAAATAAAATCCTTACGAGAAAACTTCACCAAGTGATTAAATACTGAGATTTTCTCCATAGGTAGAACCTGTTGAAACTAGAAAAATCTCAAAGAATAAGTCCACATAGATCTTTCTTCCAGCGCTATGATCGATTTACTGGATTTTCGGCCTATTTAGAAAAAAATCGAATCATGAAATTTTGTCCGTATGTATGTCCCATGGTCTGACTTCTCAGTGAAATGTAAACATTTCTTTCCAATTCATTATCTCAAGAATGAAAGATCCAGTGTCGTTGAAACTTTTAGCGTATACTAAAGACCCTGAGGCCTACATAAGGACAAAAGTTGAGGTCGAAATTTCATCATTCGATTTTTCCGAAAACTCAGGAAATCGATCATAAGGCCGAGGAGGACTTAACCTTTTAGGCTGTTTCTAGCTTCATCAGGTCTTACCTATGGAGCAAAATGTCAATTCAAAAGCTTTTAATTACTTGGTGAAATTTTCTTATTAGTAGTTTTATTTGATTAAAAAATTGGTTTATCTTCTGTAGATGAAAATACAAAACAATGTTTAGAATGTAAATTTTTCAATAATTATTTAACAAAAAATATTTATTCAATAAAAGCATTTCAATTTCTTATTGAAATTTCATTAAAAAATCAATCACGATTAATTTTCATAGAAAAAATTCAATCAAATAGTTTTATTCAATATTTAATAAATATAATTAATGATAAAAAATTTAATCGAATATATGCTGCAAAATTATTAAGTAATTTAGCTATTGAATCAAAGTAAAATTTTTTTGATTTTGAAATTTTATTCGAAAATTTTTATATTTTAGAATTAAACAATATTTTAGTAATAAAGATGAACTAATAAAATTAATTGCAATTCTAGTAAGAAATTAATGAGAAAGGATATGAATGAAGAGCCGATTAACATCCATGCTGACAATTTTTTTTTGTTTTTGTATATAGAAATCATCATCAATTGATGAAGAAACTCGAACTGTAATATTATCTTTATTAACAAATCTTTGTTCAGAAAAACATATACGATTTTGTGCTGTTAATCAAACAGAACTTTTTCAAATATTAATTGAAGATTTAGGACAATATGAAAATGAATATGAATTAAATTTATTAGGATTATTAATTAATCTAACAAATGAACAAAGTTCAACTCTTGAAGGATTATATAAAAATGTATTGTGTTGAATTTACAAAAAAAAAAAACATTTTTATTCTTTTTAGTTATGTGAAAAAATTCTAACTAAATTAAAAAATTCTTCACATCATCAACGTATATTTACATTATTAGGAAATATTGCTATGTATTATGAACAAGCTATTAATATTCTTATTGAATATAAAATTATTTCTTGGATTAGTCAAATATTACAACAAGTATAATTATAGTCAATTAATAAAATAATATATTGAATCTATTTCAATTTTTAGAATATCAACGAAGAAATGATTCGAGCTGGTATTAGACTTTTAGCATTATGTACACAATCGAATGTACAAGGACAACAAACTGTTGCTGATGATACTAAACGTAAGACTTTTAATTAACAAAAAAAAAGAGAATATTTATTGATTGATTACTTTCATTCATGTCATGAGTTTAGTCTATGTTATAGAAATATTTTAAATTATGTTTATTTTATTTATTCGTTTAGTTTTATCTCTTATCTATGAACAAATAATAAAAAGTCAAAATTCTTTACTTATTGGTAATGGTTCATTAATATTTGGACATATTATTATTCATTCATCAGCACGTATATTTTTACGAAATAATCTCGGAATAGAAAAAACGATTAGTCAAATGTTAAAATTAGTAGAAGAATCATGGTTAAGTAAAGCAGCAAGAAAAAATGTAGCTATTTTTATTACGAAAATGGTTAAAGCTGATGAAAGGTTATAGATTTAGAAATAAGAAATTTAATCTATTTTGTTTTTGTTTTTAGCTTTTTGCAAGAATTTCGAAAACAACATGGTACTGAAATTCTTCATTCAGCTCTTAAAGATGTTGAATTATAATGAAAATCTATATTTAATAAAAAATTGTTTTAATCTATAACTATATTGGTTTCATTAATAATTAACATTTCATATACTTTAAAAAGTATTTGTTTGATATATAAATAAGTTTTCAATACACTGTATTCCAACTTTTGTTACATTCTTATTCTGTAAAAGTTTTTCATTTAATAACAACAGGAGTCATAATATTACTTTCTACATATGAAAAAGTACCAAATGCTAAAATTTTACTTGAATTCAATGAGGCAAGTATATGCGATGTTTAAGACGTATAGTTTGAAAAGAACAATATGCGCTGTTCACGTTTCATCGGTTTTTCAATTAGAATAGACTTCATATGCTTTCATCTCAATTTCTAGATGGAATGTTTACATAAGGCGAATATTAAAAATTTTATAAATCATATTCTGTTCGTTTATTTTTATTTCGAAATAACAAAATAACAGTTATTTATTTTATTTTGTACTATCATTTGATGACCATTGATTAATCCATTTTAATAAATTTTCAATATTTTTTTTTAAATCATCTTCAGTTTCATTTATTATTTCATGAACAATATTTTCATCAAATAATTCTTGTGCTTCATCGAGACATACTTGAAAAATTTCTGATTGTATATTTTGTTCAATTTTTTTTTCTGAATAATTTCGTTGTTTTAATCGATTATATAATTTATCATTACAACAACGAATAACAAATACACCATGAATATGATTACTATCAGGTACAATTCCTGCACTATGATAATCAATAATTAAACCAGATGGTAATGATGATTTTTGAAAATATTCATTATCAAGATAATCATGTACAGCATCATCATCTAATATTTGACATTCATTTTCTTCATCATATTCAAGAAGAAATTTTTCTTTTTTAGCTAAATCATTAACATTAATATATGTCAATGATTTATTTATTGAACATAATTCTTGACAAAGACGAGATTTACCAACACCTAGAAAAAGAAAATAAATATTATTAAAAATTATATGAGAAATCTAAAATAATATACCTGGTGTACCACAGATGACAATATTTGGAAGTTGTTTGGTTGCACTCATCTAATAAGAAATATAGAAAAATTATATGTACTCTTTTTAACAGAAAATATTCAATATATGACGAAAGCTTCTGATATATATATATAAAAATCATGTCACCAATTGCAATGAGAAAACAAAGATGGCGTTTGTAATCGTTTTAACATTGTCAAACTAATAATGGCAAATAGCTATTAGAGCCAAGTAACTCAAGAATTTTGAGAAAATGATCCGAATTACACTAGTTAGAGTAATTCGGATCACTAGCAATTTTAGCTGAAGAGAGCTTTGAAAATTTCTAGCACTTTTTGAGTAGATTTTCAAGTGTTGTTCCTCAAACACAAAAATATTCGTTTCATTTTTCTCTATCTTCTTAGGTAAAATGAGGTAAAAATAAACTGAGTTGACCGATTATCAATCGAAATAATGAAACATAAAAAAAAAGAACCTTTTTTCGACTCATCCTTCCTCCATTTCAATTGACATTTCATTTTAATAAAAAGTCTCACAAAAAAAATTTTAACTTTCCCGATACAAAAATTAAAATTATGAGATCTATACTTACGAAGTTATACGCTAATTAATCGAAGTTCATAGAAGTTTTATATCGTTAAATGCTACTTTTAGTTATCCTAAAATTCCTTTGGTACTTTCTGCTGAACGAAATCGATGATAAATTACATTTCTTGTATTCAAAATGTTAAATCATTTTTTGATTTGGTGAAATAAAAATCTTTTGTTGTCTGAATGAGAATCAGACACCGATCTTATGGTCATCAATTCATGCAGCTCAATGAAATTAGTCTCTCACTCATATTTTGAGAACCATCGCACACATTTTTTTGATGAATTTAGCATTAACTACATAAGGTACCATTCCACATGCCCACATCATCCCTTTTTTCGAGATTCTAGGACTCCGCTTGTCCTCATCTCATCGCTAGTCATAATTGCTGATCAGTCAAGTGGATTCCTCTCTCTTCATAACCTCCAGCTTATAATCATCTATGGATTGTCGGAGACCTCTTCGCTTTCCGTTGTGATAACTAAGAATGCACCAGTTCTAAGTTCACTCAAATACAAATACAATTTTCTGTTTTGATTTGAGTATGCTTCGTCTTCAAAAAAATACTAATTATTACACATATAATCTTTGTACCTGATCTTGTCACTTTTCCATAAATATTTCTCTGATTGTTGAATTTGATTCATTTCTAATAGCATTCTGTACCATATGTCTTCTAGCATGTTAAATAAAGTCAAGGATTGTTGTTTCTTTATATGGTAGCGACTACTATTTTACTTTACACTTTCCCAACTTCCAATAGCTATTGAAAAAATAGCTTTATATTTCAGAAAATCGAGTACCAGTAGCATTTAGCGATATAATACTTAAGTGAACTTCGATTATTTAGCAAATAACTTCGTAAGTATAGATCCTTTAATTTTAATTTTTGTATCAAAAAAGTAAAAATTCTTTTTAGTGAGACTTTTTATTAAAATAAAATGTCAATTGAAATAGAGGAAGGATGAGTTGAAAAAAATGTTCTTCTGTTGATGTTTCATTATTTCGATTGATAGTCGGTCAAATCAGTTTATTTTTATCTCATTTTATATAAGAAGATAGAGCGAAGTGAGACGAATATTTTTGTGTTTGAGGAACAGCACTTGAAAATCTACTCAAAAAACGCTAAAGGTTTTCAAAGTTCTCTTTAGCTAAAATTGCTAGAGTGATCCGAATTACCCCAATTGGTGTAATTCCGATCACTTTCTCAGTGCTCTCATCATTTTTGTAAAAACTTTATAAAAAGATGAACTTTTTCTAAATATTTTAACATAGACTTGTAGAAAACACTTTGGGCTATCTATTGGTGAAAAAAATCTTTTTTGTTCTATATAAAATAGTTGAGTAATGGCTGAGATAAGTCGATTTTTTTGAGAAGTGATCCGAATTACACCAACTGATAATATATTCATTTCAAACAGGATTTACATCGAAAAGTTTAAGTGTATCATATTTATTTCTAGTTAATTTTCGTTGATAATGATAACATGACAGTATGTGGGTGGAAAAATAACTTTGCATTAGAGTATAAAAGAAAATTTCTACAGTTGCTACAGGGTGTGGGTGTGGGTATGGTTTAAGAGAAGATCAACCCACCCACATCCACACCCACACACGGCTTCATCAAACAGGAAAGCGATGAAAGTTTTACTTTAAGAAGGTGTATGGAAAAAGTTTTTGTTTTTTCGGGGCTATGCCAGAGATTTTATTTCGAAAAATAGCTTTCGGAATGACCATACAAAAGTATTCTCTTTCAGCTGGTTTTTATTTATTTATAATATAAACGTATTTTAGATTCAAACAGTGGAAATAGTATATTAGCAGCCATCACCTCCGTAGCTTGCAAGTTCAAAGGTTAATCTGATCTTCGTATTATTCATAAACATCTTTTGTATATTCATTCGTGTGCTGTTTGAAAATAGGTTGTTGTATAAATATAAATATGTTAATTGTTTCATCTGTGTTAACTCTAATGGTAAATTTGTTAAATTACAGCTTTGTAAATTAAGAGTTCGAAGACTTTTGGATAATTTTGTGATCTCCGACCATTGGAAAGATGATGCTCTACATCCACCGAACTGTAGACATTTCAGGCTTTGGATCGAACCAACTTCCACAATGTCATTTAGAAAACTATTACTATTCAAGCTCAAAGTGGATAAATTTTTTAGTAAAGTTAGTTCCCGGGGTAACTTTGTAAAATCATTGCTGTCTCAACGTAATGTTGTGAGCTGTTTGAACTTACTGATAGATAGTGTAGAGAAGTAAGACGATTGTAAGATAAATCTAACCATTTCAAATTTGAAAGATTTGAAATGACTGCGGGATACTCATTTAACTGAGTTGATGAAAGACTGAAACTTTTCAGATTTGAAATACTCTGCATTTCATTGAAAGAAGACCACTGATTATGTCAAAGTACCAAATCTGTTAATGAAGATAGTCAACTCATTCCACGAGGTAAATATGACATAAGGTAATTACCCTCCAGAAATAGTCTAGTTAAACTGTGCAAATCAGTTATATGAATTGGTAGCTCTATAATCCTAGTATATCTCACAGATAATCTTTGAAGTTGTTATAATTTTCCAATGGTACGCGGTAGATAGTCGAGTTTATAGCAAAACTCGACAATCAGCTCTTGTAGCTGGCTAAGATTCCCTATTTCATCGGGAAACTTAGAGATTTGATGCAAAATGGATATCCTAAAATACTGTAAATTTTTCAAGTTCTTAATATCACTAGGAAGATGGGTGATGTTAGCATCTGCAATAGTGAGTTTTCGGAGATTTTTCAGACAATAAATAAACAACGGAATTTCATTTTCGTTCCATATTTACAATTCAATCACTCGGTTGGTGTTTAATGTGTCTACTTCGTATTTCGAATAAGCATTGGTAAATGTTAAAATGTTGATGACATCAAGATCATTGTCGAACCAAGAACAATCAACAGCTTCGGTACAACTACAACCACTCATACGTAGAAGAGCTAAAATATGAATTGAATATAATTACCATTCAACATGTTGTACTACAAATATTACGTATCTGTCAAGTTTAGTTTTTTCGGTAAAATTTGGATCCCTTGGATCGAAAAAAAGCGGCAGAAGAAAATAGTCACGGTAAATAAACGTTGCATGATGATTGTTGTTTTCCGATACTGTCTCAAGAAATGAATATTTCTATGTATGGATTAAAAGGCAATATCATGATTTTGTTATTTGTTCAGAATGTAATTCAACACTTATCGACAAAAAATTTGCTCGATTTCATAAGAAAAAGTATCGTTTCTCTCAAAAATATTTGCTATAGAACGTATGAAATAAGATCTCGAATTGATGTATAAGAAAAATAAAAATAAGACAAGAACAAAATATGAACACT